TGAAGCACTGAAGATGTTACCTAGCTGGGCAAGAAAAGAACCAAGCTCAGAGAACCCCAAGGACTCCACAGTTCAACCCTGAGCTACACATATTTCACCTCTGTTGGTAAACATCGCTCCTTTAGGAACAACTTTTCCTCTTGCCCGAATTAATTTGACCACGGGCACACGCATCCCACCTTTCTCCAAGGTGCAAAGTTCTATTCCATCACTGTAGCATCTGGACATCTGTTGAGTGTTGCCCATAGCAATGGGGCCTGCGGGCATTCCAGAAGCCTGGAACATGTCCTCTCTCTGGTCGTCGTGGGACAATAATGGCCCAAGCCGGTTGTGAATGACTTGCAGTGAAAGACTGGAAGGTGACCTCTATAAGGTGGTACTCAACTCTATCTGTGGCTGTGATACTCTTTCCCCCAAAGACCTCATCCTCACAAAGGTGTTCATCCGGTTTTTGATTGGGTTGTCATCATCTCCCCACTTCTGGTAGCTCCATGTTTTTTTCATAGTTGCTCAAGAAAGAAATGGAGCCATCAGAAAATGTTGCTATATGTTTATTGGACACCTCAAAGAATGCTTATAAAAATGGGTATCAGATTTCTTGTCTAAGAAATTTGATTCCTGTGATTGAACATGTTCAGCTGTGGGGTTTTGTTTTTGTTTTTGGTTCCAGATAATTACAGAATTACATCTCTATTTAGTTTGGGAAAGAGAATTACACTGTACAGGCGGAAAGTTATATTAAAGAATGGATTCAAGAGACGTGCACCTTATTGATCTTTGAAATATCCCCTTATCTTAAACCTGAGAAGATGGAGCAATATTTTTTGCATGGTCTACCATGACTTCATTTCTTATGAATCGTATAGGGTCTCTCTTTCGTAGCCTTAGATCTTTTTAATCGCAGTTATGGATTCTTTGTACTCTCTCGTTTATTTTTTATTATATTCTGGTAGCTCTGTTTCATCTTGAACATGAATGACAGAAAAGAGAGAGAAACCGATCAGGTGAATAAGATTGTTGGCTTTGGGGAGGGAAGTTTTGTTTAAGATTTTAGCCAGGCTAAAGTTGATGACCGAATTAACTTCAGCCCACTGGGTTAGTTTATGGGGTCATCTGTTGGGCAAACCCCAGACCAGTGTTTCTCAACCTCGGCCACTTTAAGCTGTGTGGACTTCAACTCCCAGAATTCCCCAGCCACCCAATCCCGGCGGGGGGAATTTGTGGTGTGAGTACACCCACCCTAAACAGGGCGCCAGTTGGAGAAACCAGAAGTCGGGTTGGCCACAACAAG